GAATCATTGATCGGCTGCCTTCTGCACGCCCCCTACTGGGGATCGAGTCTGCAACCCAGGCATGTGCCCCTCAGCAGAATCGAACCTGGGACCCTTTTAGTCTGCAGGCTCATGCTCTATCCACTGAGCTAAACCAGCAAGGGCAATGCTTTTCTTTTTAAATAAGTTGGGATTTTTAGGAAGCTAGGTGTGTCCCACATGTAATGGCAAGCCTCAGAATTCTGGTGTACTATTTAGATAACTTCTTAGGTTACAATAAGATTAACAGTTAGTGGTTTTGTGGAGCAATCCTGTGACCATGATTTATTAGAAGACCATGCTAATAGTCACGTCTAAATAAAGATTTTATAATGCGATTATTCTTTAGAATAAAAAAAATAAGCTAAAAGTAATGGTATAGACAACCCTGGATTATTCAGGGCTTACTTTGTGGATTATTAGCTCTTGTTTCTCTTACTACCTCATTATTTTGTTATTAATAGTAGCTTCATTAGAGTGAGCTGGGAAATGCTGTGCTTTGACTAGCCACTTATTGATGTTTTTAGAGCTGTAGAATTAATGGAAAAACCAAATTACCAGTTTCTTGTATAACGTCTGCTCTATTGGAAAGATCATTAGAAGTTTATTAGTATATGATATTTGAACATTTATTATTATTGGACATGTTTAGTCTGATCTGCTTTTTCTTTAGGTTGCCACCAAGTCCTAGATTCACTTGGAAAGAAAAGCATAAGAAAATTATAAAAGACAGTTGCACATATAAGATTAAAAGCTCTAGACCAGGGGTGGGCAAACTTTTTGATTTGAGGGCCACAATGGGTTCTTAAACTGGACCGGAGGGCCGGAACAAAAGCATGGATGGAGTGTTTGTGTGAACTAATATAAATTCAAAGTAAACATCATTACATAAAAGGGTACAGTCTCTTTTTTTTTTAAGTTTTATTCATTTCAAACGGGCCAGATCCGGCCCGAGGGCCGTAGTTTGCCCACGGCTGCTCTAGACTCAGCCTATTTTATCTCTCTTTATTTGTTACAGACTTGTCATTTGCTCTTAAGTCATTCTTTCTTTTTTTAAAATATATTTTATTGATTTTTTTACAGAGAGGAAGGGAGCGGGATAGAGGAGGAACATCGATCAGCTGCCTCCTGCACATCTCCCAATGGGGTTGTGCCCGCAACCCAGGTACATGCCCTTGACCGGAATCGAACCTGGGACCCTTCAGTCCGCAGGCCGATGCTCTATCCACTGAGCCAAACCGGTTTTGGCTCTTAAGTCATTCTTTCATTTAAGAATGGCATCGTTGATCTTCAAAACTAGAAATAATACTCTTTCTATGGCCAAATTTACACCGTTGCCCACATGACGTTATTGGTATTTAAATCGATTACAAGTTCGTTGAGGGAAAGGGAATAGAATAGAGCCAGCATTTTCTCCCTTCCCTATTCAACACAATGTGGTATAGTCATGAAGTGGTTATCTAATCTAATAATAGAAAAATATGCAAATTCGTCCATTACGGCATCACATCACAATCAGATCAGCAGGCTGCAATCCCATCCTCTGCTCAGGCAGCTGCAAGGCCTGGGGTAGGATAGGATATGATAGGCACAGGAATGGAAAAGGGAAGGAAACTGCTTGCAGAAGGAGGTGGCGACTTGGGGGCGGGGGGCGGGGAGGCGCAGAGCAGGTGTGCCTGGTGAGCGGTGGGGCGCAGGGAGACCTGCCCAGACACAGGAGGAGGGTGGTGGTGGCCCTTGGCGGGGATGTGCCCACATTCCAGGACGGAGTGGAGGATGGTCTGAGGTCCGCAGTGCAGGCCTTGGCCACCCTTGCTGGGTTGGGCGTCCTGGGCAGGGAATGGGAGCAGGACAGCAGCGGGGAGGCTGGGGAAGGAGGGGCAGCAAACACCTGGCTGGGGCTGAGCCCTGGGCTGGGGGTTACCACGCCCCCCCTCCACAACGAAAGCTTTAAGAAGGGAAGGAGGGAGGGAAGAACTTTATAAAGGAGTCAGTAGAGAGCAGAGTTAAAGAAGGAAAGAGGACGTGTGAGTGAACTGTAGGAGCTATAATGAAAATCAAGTATAGTTGTGTACTGGTTACAGTTTTTAAAAATAGGAGTCAGAAAAGAAAAAGATAAATGATAGGAATAATTAGGCAGGTATATGGATATTAAAACAGTGGAAGTAAGTAGAGAAGGATGTGGATGAGAGTGAAAGAGGGAGGGAAGAAAAATTTTAAAGGGGAGCTGGTAGAGCTTAAAAGGAGAATGGGAAGAAGGAAGAAATGGGGGAGGGAGCAAAGCAGGTCAGAGGGAAGTGAAAAAAAATTAAGGTGGGAAGGAAGGAAAAGGGGAGGGATAAAGATAAAGGAAAGAAGGAATGTGGGGAGGGAGGTAGGAGAAAGATGGGAAGAAGGATGATGGAACAGAAGTAGGAAATGAGGAAAGAAAAGTTTATAAATGTTGAGTCAATAGGAAAAAGTGTTACATAAAGGAGAGAGAAAAATTGAGTGAGGGAGAAGCCAATAAGGAAGTCAAATACCATTGTGTTTGAAGGGGATAAGATTATAAAAAAAAAGTTAATAGGGGCGACCAGACCGCAGGGGAGGGCAGTTAGGGGTGACCAGGTCATCTGGGGAGGGCAGTTAGGGGGATCAGGCAGGCAGGCAGGTGAGCGGTTATGAGCCAGAGGTCCTGGATTGCGAGAGGGATGTGTAACTGCCAGGGATGTCCTGAGGGCTCCCAGATTAGAGAAGGTGCAGGTCAGACTGAAGGACCCCCCCACCCCCCGCACGAATTTTGTGCACCTGGCGTCTAGTGTATTAATAAGCAAGACTTTGGACTGTTTCTTCTATAGAAGAACCTGCTTTTATATTGTTTCAAAATGATAGCTTAATTTTATCTGTTCCTTTTTTTTTAATCTTTAAATTCTTTATTAGTTAAGGAATTACAAATGTGTATTTTATTGATTTTTTTTACAGAGAGAAAGGGAGAGGGATAGAGAGTTTGAAACATTGATGAGAGAGAAACATTGATCAGCTGCTTCCTGCACAACCCATACTGGGGATGTGCCCACAACCAAGGTATATGCCCTTGACCGGAATCGAACCTGGGACCCTTCAGTCCGTAGGCCGATGCTCTATCCACTGAGCCAAACCGGTTAGGGCTTATCTGTTCCATTTGACTGTACTGTATACTGCCAGCAAAAATTATAGAATTTTCAGACTTCTTGCATTATGCTTTAAACTTGTCATAAGGATTTCAGGACCAATAAAGAGTCACATCATGTTCTTAGTAGGGTATATGTTTAAAAAAAAAATCCAGACTAGAGAATCTTAGCAAATTTTAAAAATAATTGTCTGTAATACAAGCTTCTTTCTTTGTGTCTGTTGTTGCTACCGTGGGGCTACAATAGTTGTAATAAATCCATATCTAGAAAGAGCAGTCAAATTCAAGGGAAAGAAATCCGTATTTACTGAAACACAGTAGCAGGCACAGGGGAATTTAGGTTTTGAGTGTAGATACCCTTCCCAATATTTTTGGTGTGTTTATAATAGATACGG